TGACTAGCAGGTTGACCTCCAAATGTATGGACGCTGCGCACCACCACGCCAATTCTGCCATGATTCGCCGCAGCTCCCACCTCCACCACGCTGTACAGACACAACTTTGCCTTCTCTGACACCCGACTTGGATGCGTTTCATCCTGATTCTCTGTCAGTGGCTAGGACTCAACTGGAGAGGCATTTCTCACTGTCTTATTGGGCTCAATACTCCCTGTCCTAGGTGACAATTTTAAATGATCAATATCTGCAAAAGAGAATCTGGAAATCCTGACCAAAGGTACGGAAGTTTGTTCCAGAAAGTGCCACTGCTGGTGGGGCCACTGTCAGTTGTTCCCAGAGCGCCCTCCAGACTGCCCACTCCCCAGGCCACGGCTGCTGTGGCTCACAGTCCTATTTTGTTCTGATTTCTAATACACGCTCTAGCTTCCTTTACACTAGTTTCTAAAGGGCAGGGATGTTCAACTCTCCTTGGAATGAGAGCATTATTCTTCAGAGAAAACTGCATTTTTTTTATTAATTTTATTGAGAAACAGATAGCAATGAGACAGTTTCAAAACCAATTAATAGGACAGTTTCAATAATTAATACATTGCATATTGCTATCTTAGTGGTTATCATAGTACAAGATGCAGGCACGATATCCTGTCCAAATACTATTCATACAAATCTTTCTTCTCATTAAGAGAAAGTAGCTGTATATCTATCCTAACTACTTTGTATATACAGATACAAAATGGTCCTTCATTTATGTCCCCTTTTTTGTTTAATTTTGTCACAGATGGGTATTTCATTGCCATTTAAATATTGTAGGTGTGTGAATTCAGCAAAATAATCCAATATAGTCCTGTAGTCCATAATAGTAGTGGGTTATCTGCAGAACTGACAATGTCAGAAGTTGTTGACTTGAGCCTTTCACAGTTCAGCATATTAATATGGCTTTATTTTTTAGACCCTGTGTTTATACTTTTCTGCTGGGTGGTTAAGACCAAGATAAAGCAAGACCTATATAGCAAGAAATGTAGCTTTTGTATCTGGCAAGTTCAGTCAAATCCCCTCAGGATTTATCCCGAAACCCTGTACTGCAGTTTGTAGATCCTTTGTCAGTGTCAGCCTTGTGGATGAGTCACAGCCATTGCTTGACCAGTTTGCTCTCTGTGAAAGCCTGAGAGAATGTTTTCTCTCCATGTGACTCTATGCGTTTATACATTTAGGGTAAGATCTTGAATCCTACATCAGATGAACCATCAGTGCTTTCCGAAGGAGGAGCTCTTCCTGTGGCAGGGACTCAAGCCCTGGGCCACTGCTCCTTTAGATGAGCAGGTTCCAGTTAGAATCTGTCAACAAGCAATGCAAAGAATGCTTCTGTGTGAAAGCATTCTGATGCGCGAGGCTTGTGGTACAGCTCCGCACAAGAAGTTGGGCTCTAGGTCCAGTCGTTAGCCTAAAAATCAGTGAAGCAATGGAACAGAGTAGAGCAGCACAGCACAGCACAGCACAG